AGCAGGAAAATAAGGAATCTGCCAAACGAGAAATAGATGTGGTTTTGAAAGAAATGTTTATGGTTTTAGATACAGCCTGGCAAAAAGAAATGCTGCTTTCAGCTATGACGTGATTGCTAGACTGTCAGTTCAACCATGCAACAGCTCTTAGAGGGATTGATAGAAAATATTTCATGATGCTTGCCAGTGAATAAATAGGAAGGCAACCAAGACCCCTAAATCCATGGGGTTTTCTATAGAGTCCTGCTCTATAGAAACTCCCAAAATACACAGCATTGGCACTTCTGGAAGTGTTTTTGTCTCCTTAATCCTATTCAAAAGAGATTTTTAACTGCTGACCTGCAATCATTTGGAGCAGTGACATTTTGAACTGCTCCAACAGATAGGGTACAGGTGCTGCTAACTACTACCTAAGCACGAGCAAGAATGACCTCACCCTTCTTGGTCCAGGATGCAACAGCGATCTGTCAACTTTTGCACAGGCCAACACACAAAAACCACTTCCTGAATGGTGGGAGAGAGTATCTTCAGCAATGGAAAAGGAATAAAAATTTCCTATACTGCTCTTGATTTTCTTTAAAAGAAAGACTACAAAAAATGTGTTGGCTCTTAGAGGGAAATTTAGCCCCTCTGTAAAATTCCTGGCTGGTGCTGTTATTGGGATGACAAGAGGAACCAGCTTGTCTGTGTCTCCACCCTACTGATGCAGGAGAGAGTAAAGGCAAATGGGTCATGCAAGGGTGGATCAGGGGTTTTTAATACTGCTGTTTCATATGTGGAAGTGAAATATGTTGTTGCATCTGGAAATGCTGGCCTGCCCAACTATATAATCACCACGCTGCTGCAAGCAAAATCTACTCTAGAGGCAGGTCTATGCTATAGGCTTCTGCCTGCATAAATATGTGGATGAGAGCGGCAGAGAGATGTGATACCTGACCCACATAGGTGTGCTAAAGAAGCTTTATTAGCATAACTTGTTTTGCTGTGGGGTAGGGAGGGATGATAACTTTCCTGTGATGAACAACTACAGAACATAATTTTGCTGCTGTAAGAGCATCCACATGCTTCGCTAGTTTAATATCACAGGACTTCCATGTGCCAAGGTACAGTGTCCCTGACGCAGGCAGAGATTAGACCACTGTGCGCTTTCTAAAAGGACACAGTAAGGGAAACTCGTGCCAGGCACAGGGCAAGGGAGGAGAAGTGTGGAACACCTTCTAAGTAAGTAGAGCTTGAAATGCTATTACATTGCAACACACTGACAAGACTGAAAGAAGGAACTTTAAAATTAAGTATGCATGCTGGGTGTAAGTGCATGCTTTTTAATGTGATGCCTTGCATTTAACGTAAGGGCCAAGACTGGAGATGTGAATTCCCGGAACGTTTTTCCCTTTCCTTCCTGTTCCTCGTATGTGTCTGTGGGAGTGGCTCGCAACGGGGAAGACACAATCTGTGGTGCGGTCCTGAGATGCCACATCTCCTTCAGAGTTGTCACCCTTTGGCTGAGCCCCACAGTGGCCCAAACCTTCAAGGAGAACCTTTTCAAATAAATGACAGGCAGCTCCTGAGAGAAAGGCTGCCCAACCTGCAGGGCTCTACGCAGTGTCTCCCGAGAGATAAAAGGAAGGCTGCTGGGATATATTCATTCCTGTCTTTAAGATGGTATCACAAGGGGATGAGCAGGGCTGCAGCCTGTCTGCTAAGTCCTCCGTGCAAAACTTCAAACAGACGCTCTGGAGGCGGCAGGGCACGGGGCTGACTCACCCGGCCGGCTGGGTGGACGCAGCCCGTCCAAGCACGTCTCGGCTTTCCAGCTCCTGAGTGGGTTGCCCTCAGACAGCTCTCTCGTCCTCAGCTCCCTCCAAGGGCTCTCACGTGACACGTTATTTTAGTAATGCTTTTGGGTTTGTCTTTTGGGGTTTTTTGGCTCTTCCCTCTCCCCTGCAAAGCAATGGTGGGGAATTGCAGGGCGACCTGCATCGCACATGGGAGCGATTGCTTTGCATTGCTACACACCTGGCTGCACCGTGAGTGAGGTGCTAAGGCGCTTAAGGGTTTTAATTTGGGTGATTAAATTCTCCAGTATTAATGCTACGGGTGTTCCTCTATATGAAATAATACCGTCCCTATAAACTCGATCAGCAAATATGAGGAGCCATCAAAAGTTAACACCGTAGTTAACACAAGTGAAGTTATAACCACTTCACATCCTTCCTATGGGCTTGGTCTTCCGCGCAGCCCTGTTTAAGAATAAGCAAAGTTCAGAAACCCAGGCCCATGATTCCGACAGAAGGAGCTGGCTTTCCCTGTGAGTCAGGACAGTACAAAGGATGAGAGACGCCGAGTGTGGAAGCAGTGAAACTGCAGATTTTAGATGAGATTATTTTCCTGGCTTTGCCAAATTCATTCAAAATGTGCAACTACTCCCCAGAACTACATGTACACCACAAATACACCTATTTGCAAATAAGGAGCATTTTTCCCCTCTGATATTTAGTACTTCTTTAAGAAACTGGGAGAAGAAAATTTAGACCCACTGGAGTCAGTGGGAAGTTTCCACTAGCAGGATCAGAGTTCACTCTACAGAAAGTAAAATACACTGAAAATCAACTCGAAGTTATTGTTTGTTTTATAAACTAAGTGAATGAATGCAAGGAATCTAGCTCTGAGCCCTTCAAGTTTTCTGCCTCTCGCATTCTGGGGGGTTGTTCACATATTTGAAAGGCTACTTTGTGCCTTGAGACTTCAAATCTTTTTCCAGTTGTGTAAGTCAGCAGAAGTTTCTCATCCTTTTTATATATCCCACACACAGTCTAGGTGTGTCCATACTAAAAAATATCCCTTTCCTAGGAAAAAAATAATACATATATATAATTACTCCAGTGTTACCCCGTTCACGTCCTCAGCCCCCAAGGTATTTTAACCATCTGGACGGGTATTTCACTTCTGTGGTCTCTGTTACTCCCTGCCTGCCCCACTGCTGAAATGGGCACAGAGCAGCAGTGGCCAAGGCGAGGGAAAGGACAGATGACAGTGTGGGCGTGTGACAAGCTATCTGCTGTGCACATTTAGCTACACTAGCTCTGCAATACACTTAAATAGACGTTTGGGGAAAACAACAAAAAATTGTGTTTAATAACTGGGAAGCAACGCTGAGGAATGCACACCAAGGGCTGAAAAGTAAAGGAAACTATGTGGCAAGGGCAATTACCAGTCAGTTAATAGAAAAAATAGTTAACCTGCATTTACAATGAGCGTGGGTGCTACCTAATCCTTATTGTCATCCCATAGTAGTGGGATTTCGATTAGGAAGAGTGTATGTGACAAAGTATTACAGTTTGCAGCAACAACTTTTCACTCACAGATAATCTACTGCTATCCATAAACATATTCACGTATTAGTTCCTAGGAAAAAAAAAAAAGGCATGGTATCTTCTCATTCTCAGGGGTCCTATATATGTTACAGCCTGGAAATCAAGAGGCTGATTGCCAGGAAAATGCTGTGTACATAAACACCAAAAGCACCCAGCCTGGTAACAGCCCTTCAAGACTTCAACGAAGAACCCAGCAGGTGCTGAAGCTGCTGTAATTGACTTCTCAGGTCTCACTGTGATGGCACTGCCATTTACCTATGAACCATTCAATAAACCTGAAGTGGTTTTGAATCATTTGCTACAACAGGAGATCAAACAAGCTTGTTACAAGCCTCACATTCCCCCATAGCAACTGTAAGCCCTTTCTGCAGCCAGTGAAGAGAAACCTGCAGTCAGTGCCCTGGCAAACCAGCCAAGAGAAATCCACGTAGTAAACCGGAGCCTTACATCTCTGCTGATTATTAAATACTAAACAAGTTTATTTTTGTCTGCCCTCTCGTCACAAAATATTTTTTATAGATTTCTTTATGTACATCACCTACAAGCTTAAGGAATCCAAGTCCTAAAAGTTGTTTGCAGCATGGAGAGCCAGCAGGGCAGCGCCTGCCTTATTTCCCAGCACAGCAACACTCCCACTTACTAACGAGCAACCAAACAAAAACACGGCTGATGGCTCCCTTCAGCTGCCCACTGCTCTGCGGTTTTTTCCCTTAAAGGACAAGCCAGTCCAAAATGTGCATGTCATCAGGCTCCTCCATTAGAGCTCATTAATTCGCAGCTCCTCGGACTCTAAACACTGTGGGGTTTTTTTGCTTTCTGGAACAAATGAAGCACTCTGGAGACAGTTTGTAGTAAAGCCAGACAAGTTTAACTACTACATACTTTGCCTATTCTACCAAGTCCGGCATCCCAGCTCCTCATTCAGCACTCCCGGCTCTCGGGGTGTCCTTGGCAGCTGTACTTTTGATCACCTTAAGAGGGGAAAACACACATTCACTAAAGTATTGAAAGCTCAGCTTGCATACTAGCAACCCAAGAATAACTCAGCAATTTATATAGCTGGCCACAAACCGGTCTCTTAAGTTATTGAGCCCAGCCGCCTGCCAAGCAGGACTATTTTTGTTGTACGTATTTCCCCGCTGTTTTATTTCAGTGACACGAACACTACAATCCACCCTATGTCGCAGCTGCCGGGGACTGGGGGCCTCAGCCCGAGCCACCAGTTGCGAAAGAGCAGGTCCTGCCCGAAAAACAACACCCCCAGCTCACGGAAACTTTTCCCTTGCCGTAGCGGTGCCGGGGGGCACGCTCACACCGGCCCCAGCCCCAGGGTTTGGGGTCTGCGACCCTCCCCAGCACCCGGTGGGGGCAGCTGGCTCACTCCCTAGGCCAGACTCCCTTCGGGTGAGCCAGCACCCCCCCCCCCCGGTACAACACCGAGCCCGTAGCACCCACCTCACCCCTACTCTCCCCAAAATGCCTTTTGGGGGGAAAGCTGGCTGCCGCCCCTACCCTGGAGCCAGCCACCCCCCAGCCCACAGGGTCCCGGGGCCGCGGACACTGCCAAGGTCTTCCTCATCCTTCCCCCCACCCCCCCCGCTCTTTCACAGAGAAGAGGAAGATAAGTTTATGCTTTAAATACATTTTATTTATTACCAAAATTTCCAGAAGCCTAATTTGGCATATTTTTTTTACTCTTCCATAAAGATTTTCATGCATAACTTGAAACTTGTCAACTGCAACAGTCGAGTGGTTACTTTAGAAGAGACACTTGAACAGAGACAAACATCCAGAGTACAAACAGCTGTATCTGAATTAACAAAGGTTGTCTATTACTAACCTTATAAAGCAGGACGTGCCTTCCCTTTTATCAAAACCAAGCTGACAGATCTGCCTTTATACACACCCAACAGAATAAACTCTGTTATCGGCAAGGACGTTTTCCTTAAACGTTAGAAAAAAAAAAATACAAAGCAAAGAATGGAGTGACTGTCCATAAACCAGTCTATACTTCAGTTCTCTTTAATCTACTTCTTCGATGGTCGGGCCACCGGAGCCACCCGCACCGGCCCCTCCAGCTCCCTGGTACAATTTTGTGACGATCGGGTTGCAAAGTTTCTCCAGCTCTTTCTGCTTGTGCTCGTACTCTTCCTTCTCGGCCATCTGGTTGCGATCGAGCCAGGAGACCACCTCCCGACACTTGTCGAGCACTTTCTGCTTGTCCTGGTCACTGATCTTTCCCTTCAGTTTATCGTCCTCCACCGTCTGCTTCATGTTGTAAGTGTAGGACTCGAGGGAGTTCTTGGCTGCCACCCGATCTCGGTTAGCTTCATCCTCCGCTTTGTATTTCTCTGCTTCTTGCACCATACGGTCAATGTCATCCTTGCTAAGGCGACCCTTGTCATTGGTGATGGTGATCTTGTTCTCCTTACCCGTGCTCTTGTCCACAGCGCTGACATTCAGGATACCATTGGCATCGATGTCAAAAGTGACCTCGATCTGGGGGACTCCACGGGGTGCCGGGGGGATGCCCGTTAGGTCAAATTTACCCAGCAAGTTGTTGTCCTTCGTCATAGCCCTCTCGCCCTCGTACACCTGGACCAGGACGCTGCTCTGGTTGTCAGAGTAGGTGGTGAAGGTCTGAGTTTGTTTGGTGGGAATGGTGGTGTTGCGCTTGATGAGAGCTGTCATCACGCCACCAGCTGTCTCGATGCCCAGGGACAGAGGGGTGACATCCAACAGCAGCAGATCCTGCACATTCTCAGACTTGTCTCCCATGAGGATAGCCGCTTGCACGGCAGCGCCATAAGCAACAGCCTCGTCGGGGTTGATGCTCTTGTTGAGCTCTTTGCCATTGAAGAAGTCCTGTAGCAGCTTTTGGATCTTGGGAATACGAGTGGAGCCACCCACCAGCACGATCTCCTGGATCTGGCCCTTGTCTAGCTTGGCATCGCGCAGAGCCTTCTCCACTGGCTCCAGGGTGCCACGGAAGAGATCAGCATTGAGCTCCTCGAAGCGGGCACGAGTAATGGAGGTGTAGAAGTCAATGCCCTCGTAGAGGGAGTCGATCTCAATGCTAGCTTGCGTGGAAGAGCTGAGGGTGCGCTTCGCCCTCTCACAAGCCGTACGCAGTCGCCTCACCGCTCGCTTGTTGCCAGCAATGTCGCGCTTGTGCTTACGCTTGAATTCTTCCACAAAATGGTTCACCATGCGGTTGTCAAAGTCCTCCCCACCCAGGTGGGTGTCACCAGCTGTGGACTTCACCTCAAAGATGCCATCCTCAATGGTAAGGATGGATACATCAAAAGTGCCCCCTCCCAAGTCAAAGATGAGCACATTCTTCTCTCCGGCCCGGGTACCTTTCTTGTCCAAGCCATAGGCTATAGCAGCTGCTGTGGGCTCGTTGATAATGCGCATCACATTAAGGCCAGTGATGGTGCCAGCGTCTTTGGTGGCCTGGCGCTGGGAGTCATTGAAGTAGGCAGGCACTGTGATGACAGCATTCTGCACCTTGCGCCCCAGATAGGCCTCAGCGATCTCCTTCATCTTGGTAAGGACCATGGAGCTGATCTCCTCTGGGAAGAAGGTCTTCATCTCACCCTTGTACTCCACTTGCACCTTGGGCTTGCCACCCTCGTTCACCACACGGAAGGGCCAGTGCTTCATGTCAGCCTGCACCGTGGGGTCATCGTACTTGCGGCCGATGAGACGCTTGGCATCAAAGATGGTGTTGGTGGGGTTCATAGCCACCTGGTTCTTGGCGGCATCGCCGATGAGGCGCTCTGTATCGGTGAAGGCCACGTAGCTGGGCGTGGTGCGGTTGCCCTGGTCGTTGGCGATGATCTCCACTTTGCCATGCTGAAAGACACCCACGCAGGAGTACGTGGTGCCCAAGTCGATGCCGATTGCCGGCCCTTTGCCAGACATGATGGCAGGTCTCTGCTCAGCGCCTCGCTCGCGATCGCCGCTCCCGCCGCCCGCTCCCGCTGCCGTCCGCGGCGCGATGTGCCGTCACAGCGCCGCTGGCGCCCCTTTTATAGCCGGCTCAGCCGCCTTCTGGAACCTGCCAGAACCCCGCTGGCCAATCTAGACGCCCGCCCGCCACGACTGGCCAACCGCTTCCGTGAGTCGCCGAAGAGCACCCGCCCCCTACTTCCTGGCCAACCAGAACCGTGGCGCCCACCCGTCAGCCCAACCCTCCCCGCTGTACGGCGGCCAGGACCGTACTTCTTCCTGTTTTTTCTCGACCCGTCTCAGCTTGCAGAGTGCGCCACCGCCCTCGACCAATCACCGCTCGCGCTTCGCATTGGCCCCGCCCCCGCCCCGAAACTCTACTAGAAAGTTCGAGTGGACGTTACGCGCAAAGGTCGGGGATTGACTTCAGCGTTACCCAATGGAGATCGGGGAGCCGGGTGAGGGGCGGGGCGAGGGCCGCCGCGGCGGGGAGGGCTGGGCTGGGCTGGTCGCTATGCGACTTGTCTCGCGTTCCCAAGGGGCGCGGCGCGGCATTGGGCGCGCGCCCACCCACCCCCCCACCCCCCCCCCATGGCGGCACGTAGCCCGCGAGCGGCGGCCCTGAGGGGCGCGGGGGGGTGAGGAGGGAGCGGGGCCGCGCTCGCAGCTCGCCTCCCGGTGTTCCTAATTCCTTACGGTTGCGTGTCATTTCCCAGCCAGCTGCCGGCTGGTGGGATAATTTACCCTTATTTGGTCGCAAGGCGGCAGAAATTCAACCTTGCCCTCCCCACCTCGTTCCCCCTCCTCTTGCCAGCCGCCCCCGCCCCGCCACTCCCCGTCTTGTCACGGAGAAACGGCCGCCGCGCCGCTTCCTTCCGCCGCCGCGACCCCCGGCGGGGGCTGAGGTGCCGCCGACCTGAGGAAAACTCCGCAGCGCCCGCGGCTTCGCGCCCTCCCCCTATGGCAGAGGGAAAGTCCCGCAGCGAGCGGAGGCTGAGGCAGTTGTTAGCCTTATTTTGGCTAAAACTTGGCGGGCTGACAGCCGCCCTTGCGCACATCCCCTCTCAGGGCAGCGAGGGCGGTTTCTCCCCTCGCCCGGCCGCCCTGAACTGCAGGAGCCGGTTGTCAGCGCTGCTGTCGCTACTGAGGTGGTAGGTGGCCTGCCCTGGTACCAGAAGGCAGGGTATGGCGTCTGGCTTTCCCCTCTGAAAGAAGTAGTTAGGGGTTTGGGGAGCCCTGTTGCTGCGTGTTTCTACGTGGTGACCATTCTTGAAACGCCTCCAAATTTTTGTGTGTTGTGCTAATGTAAAATGTCACGCCTACATTTAGCAAAAGCTACGAAGCTATTAACTCGGAGCTAGGCAAGTGCTTTGATGAAAGTACATTAAACATGAAAATCTGTTGTGGTTCCTCCAAATTATTCCTCCTTACTTTGAGACAAACACTTCAAAATATTCCAGTTCTAGTAAGGAGAGCAAAATAACCATACCGAGATCTTTTTTCCTCGGAGGCTTAGTGAGTAGCTCCTTTTGGATACCTCCTTTAAAAATGTGGCTAAAAGTCTGCTACCCATGGACTTTATGTGTTGCGTGAGAGAAGGATTAAATACGCTGTATGCTTAAATCATCTTTCATTAATTTTGTCCCCAATCTTCAGCATTATGCTATAGCAGCCCTCATAAAAAATGTTAACAGCTTTTTCGAGAATGATCTGTGTTCATGCAGTTATTAGATACTCTAAGTTCCGTTCAAAAACATACTTGTTTCAATTAGCGTGTTTTTCAAAGCCTTTTTACAAGACATGAGGATTCCACCTCTTTTGCGTAGCATGTGTGTATGTAGTTTTGAGATGGAAGAGCTTCAATTTCTGATGGTAAATACTGTACATGCTTAAATAACTATTATTCTTCCACAGATCCTGGTCTTTTTTTCACATGGGTTCTGACCTTCGAGAAATCTGAAAGAAGTCAATGGCAAATGGGAACTCTCAGCTCTCCCTACCTCCAACAGGAGCTGCTCTGTATACACAGTATGCAGATTTCTTTGATGGGAAGGGTGTCAGTTTCTCTTGTAGTTAGACCAGTGACTGATTCATCACTGAACTATCTCTTCCTATAATTCACTGCTAACTTCATTCAACTGATTGTATCATACGGAGCAGGGAGAAATGCCAGAGCTATACAAAGAGAGTTAGTTGATAAATTCCATTTCAGCTGAAAAGTTGATGTTATTTATTATTGGTATCCTTGTGAGGACTGTCCCTTAGAAGCACTGGTAATGCACGACAACCCTGTTTTGATAGCTGCAGTACAAACTCAGACCCAGTTATTTCCGAGTAAAAAGATGATTCCTGCCTCAAAAACGTATGTATCAAAACAAGGGATGGAAAGAACATATGGACTAAGAAATAACACAACAATATTGATTAGCACATTAAGCAGCAAAATTAATTTGATATCTCATTTAAGTGTAGCTGTAATCAAACAGGTTTTATCAGATTTTAGAAGTGACATTTCACTAATTTGGCCCAAAGCTTTTAGCTGTAAGTTTCATCAGCCCAGGCACAAAATACATACAACAGCTCCAGACAAAACTTGTTTGGGGTGTCCTTGGCCCAGTAACTAGTATGGCCCTGATACAGTTGTGCTGATACCCAGATGTGCTGATAACCTGCTAAAGAGGTGTTTGCATTGACCGGATTACTACTTACCCTGATAGTACTCCCTCAGTCCTATTTATTTCATCTTTTGAATTGTTATTTTGCTATAGTAAATTTGGGGAAAATATCTTGGAGGAATGTATGAGCGTACCATTTTAATGCTAATGGTGTAAGTGACACACTCATCGCCGTTCTCAGGAAAAATCAAAAGGTCCTAGACTCAGGCTACCAAGTACTTCACTTGGGCTGTTGCAGAAGTATTTCTTTTCCAGCTGAGCACGCAGGTGCTGTTTTCTTCTTGTACAATGATACATATAGGTCTGAGCTGCTTTTTAAGCTTTTGTTCCTAATCAGAAGTTCACGTGAAGTTCTTGCCATCATCTCTCATCTCTCACTGATGTCCCTAGAGAAAGTCCAGTCTAACTAGAGGGAGCAACCTCTAAAACCTCATTAGACTTATTTTCTCTTCTCAGCAGAGCTATTACAAGCCTGCTTTTTGTCAGCAGTTCTCTGAGAGTTGCAGCACAATTTGTGAACCAACTCATCTATGCAGTCATCCTCTCATATGGGAAGAGCCACATGATTTTCTTTTATGTTGCTTCATATGCAGTCATGTTATAGGTGAGCCAAACAGACTGGTTCAGAAATTAAAGAGTGAGCTTTATGGTGAGGACTTCAGCACAAATTTTCCCTTTAACAGAACATTCACTGTTATTCCCCCATCCTGAATCTGTAAGCCATATTTTCATATTAACTTCCAGAAGAGCAAGTTGGTCCCTCTGGAAGTAGCAGGCCTCTTTCTGATCCATTTATTTGTGTTTAGGATCGATAATGCACCCATGTCTCCTACTTGGCAGCGTTATGTAATATGCTGTAGGCTATTCTCCATTACACCACCCAGCCAGAAATGAAGATGATATTTAGATTTCTCCAGTGAAGCAAGAGCTTAGTACCTGGAGCAGAACTGAGAACTCAACCTTTATCTTGATAAAAGGAAGATTTTTTTCCCACATATTTCATAAGGCAACATAATATAAAAATAGGAGTGAACACAAGTTACAGTTCAATCAGACATCAGCCACATGGATCGTTAAAATGATAAAGCTGAAATGCAATGGTCTGTTCACATTTGACAATCAGATCTTAGACCTTAAATTATGGTATCCATTTTCCTTGTATCCATTTCCCTAGTAAAACTATCCAGAAAATTGCATAAGTCAGATTGTATTGGTGAGGATAAATGAATTACAATACAGCAATCAGTTCAGAAAAGTCTAAGCAACAGCTGTTCTAAGAACGAATAATACTTTGTCGAAGTACCTTTTCATCACTGAAATTCTTCATCTTGTTTATGTTTGTGAATATATGTCTAGTAATTGGAATTTAGACAAGAACTACCAGTGTATGAAATGACAACAGATTCTTCTAACAAGGTGCTGTTGTGTTAAAAATTGTAGTGTATACGGGAGAAACTATGTAACTTTTTTGTGTTTTTTATATACCTCCACTTTTTGCACATAGATGCTCCTTGTTAATTTGAAAGGCAGCCACAATACATGATTGTTCTTAAATAAGTGTTCCTTTGTTTTTGTGAATAACAAAGTTCTGCAAATCAGTATAACATGGTTTTGGCAAATTACGCAAATGCATGATCAGTAATATGGAAATATTCAGAACAGCAGAATATAGGGCACGGTAATTTGGTATTGCCAAACTAGAAGTTCAAAAATCATGAGTCAGATCTCCTAAAATTATAAACCTAGTTTAAAATTAAGAGCTTAAAAAACACACGTGGCTTTATTCACCTTCTGGCTTTTTAATCTTAAGCGTATGTTCGGCTTAACACTTCTATGATTTTCCATGTAATTTGCAGAGCCTTTTTTTTTTTTAATAAATAAAATAGTTGATTATACCCTCTCACAACTAAAACCAGGCTGCCTCAAATTGATTAGACTCAATAAAATCATGGAAGTTGTCAACACTGATTAAATTAATGCTTGATGTTTCAAGGAATAATTATTTTATAATTAAGTGGTTTTAAAGCGCATTCATTTACATAGACTTCTGACAGTTTGCTGAGGCATGATTAGAAGCTGAGGTTAGTATCACTAGTGATAACTAGATAAACTGGTGTGCTGTGCATTTTAGACAGTCAGTTCTTTACTTTCCTATAACTGCATCCTCCTTTTCTTGCAGCCAGTGCCAGCTCTACTGACAGTAATAAATAAGGGACTTGAAAGCAGATAGTTTGCAAGCAATTATACAATCAGATCAGAAAAGGACCTCAATAGGTCTTTCAGTCTCATTTTGTGCCTAACCAAAACCTCCTTTCTTGCAATTTAAGGGAATTATTTCTATTCCTATTGATTGTGGATATGAGAAAATGTTATTCTATTTTTCTTTGCAACCAGCTTTTATATATATGAAAATCATCATTTCCCCTCTACCATCTCTTCTGTAAGATGACCTCAAATCATTCAATCTCTGCTCAAAGGCAAAGTTTTCTCAGCTTCTAGTCATTCTCATTGCTTTCTCCTGCATTCTCTGCATGCAACTTCTATCTTATTTTTGAAGTGCCATGATCAAAACTGGAGACTTTACTAGCTCACGCCTCAGCAGTTCTGAAGGAGCAGATTATATTCCAGTTTAGGCATTTCAGTTTTTACCTTTATTTGCAACAGCATGATGTTGCAGACTAATTTTCAGAATTTGATCCAAAATAACATATCGGTTCTTTTTAATGGAAATTAAGCAGCTGTTCCTTTACTTGAACAGCTAATGATTCCAGCTTGCACTTGTTCCTATTAAATAACATCTTATGTTTTCAGATCATGTCTGCTCCTTGCCAGGATTATTTTGAATTCTAATCTTACCTTCCAGTATATTTGAACTCTGCTTGGTCTTGTCTGAAGATGTTAAAAGGATACTCTATATGGTCCAGGGGGTGAATAAATAAAAACAGAGAACTTTGTCTAGAACTGCTGTGAATGGGGTTAAACAACATGCTGTAATTATTGGCACTAACTGTAAAGCTGGAAAATAATGATAAGTCTTAAACAAGGGAAATGTAAACACAGGCAAAGACTAATACTTCATACTCAGAGATCAGTATAATTTGATTAATCTCTCAGATTCACTTAAATGTTTAGTGTGAAGAATTTTTATAATTGAACTGTAGCAGTGCTATAAATGTCTCTTATTTTCTCATTCCTATGATTATTTGATTTTTACTCATCTTAGTTTTCCCTCTTGTCATTCTTAGCATGTAAATGGGAAAAAAGCAGGAGCAGATGAAGCAGGTGGTAACTGGAACTTCACCCTGTTGCCGGGACTGTTATTGACTCAGGTATAAAATGGAATTAAATGAGAGTAATAAGCAGATTTGTAAGAATATTTTATTAAAGATACTGTATCAAAGCACAGAGTAAGGTTTAAAGATGATGAAAACTAACCTGGAATGTCTTCACTGATACTCTACATACACTACAAATAATTGCTAAGTTACAGAACAGTCACAGCCTGTTCTAGATATCCTGCTCTTAGTAGACTGCTGAAGGCCTATCTTTAGGTGATGCTGTAAACATATTTCCCTTCTCTCCTGCTTCGCGGCAGTCCTACCGTTCTCTATGGAAAGGACATCCCATTTTCTATTAGATTTCCCAGCTATATTGTGCCTTCTCCCTGCAGAGGCCCCAGTGCTATGTGGCTTTGCCCAGATATTCACGATCTTCCCCTTTGCTCCAGCACAGCCACTGGGACTGAAGTGTTGGCACTCCAATATTGCACTGAAGGCTTTTAAAAGGCCTATATTAATGTTTAAGGTGTTATGTGTTAATAGAGCTGATACCTTCAACAGCTGTGTGCTGAAATGTTTGGGGCTATGTAATTAGATTAAGGAACCACATTCAAAGAGATCTGAACATCTTTTCTTGCATTTGTATAGCAACTTTATAAACTCAAAAAGAGTAAAGCAAGCACAGACACATGCCCTATACAAGCTGCAATACAGACAATATTTTACACACTTCGTAACAACAGTAATGAAAATTATGCCAATTTTAAATAAAATTATAGACAGACTCTTCTTGAGATAACACTTATACTGAACAATGAAACATCCTTTTATAGTCATGAGTAGAATTAGTAAGATGCGTAACTACAGCAGAATATAGATCAGCATGTTTAGTCTGCTTACATGTCTCAATCTGATCCACTGTTGTCTGGGGGAAGCAAAAGAAATTAATATTTTTTTAAACCATGCTGGCCTTAATTTGAAACATTTACTGCCTTGTTGGTTTTTTGGTTAGGGTTTTTTTTCCCCGTTAATTTATCTGGAAACATTAGGATTCCTAAAATGCTCAACATGAGTGCCTGATTCTCTTCTTCAAGCCAGCTTTTGCAAGGCTTAGATCCAGAACAAGGGGCACCCTGTGCCCTGTGAAGATTATTTCACATTTACTTATCTCCTTGTTGTTAAAATTTTTCACCATTCTTGTATAAGACCAGAGCACCATTTCTTTACTCTCCACATACAAGCACTGTGCTCCATGGAAGGTCCTCTTCAGCTTGCAAATGATGATCATGGCAGCAGGGGGAATCAGGTCAGCTGGATCATTCTCACCATCCTGTCCTTCCTCAGGGACCCTCTGTCCTCAGTTTTTAAGATTTTTTATTCACCTTGTACTCCAGATTAAATTGTTTTTCCTCTTTTTTAACACTCGATAGTTTAGCAGTGTAACTGTCTGAAAATACATAAGTTTTAGTTCACAAGTATACACTTCTAATGTTTGAACTAAAAAATCTGAACAGTTTTTGACAGAAACTAAGAAGCCTCATTTCAGAAAAGGAGCACTCCAGCACATGAATAGCAAATTCTGCAAACTCATTTCAGTGCAGCCTGTAACACCTGGCATCTGCCTCTTTTGGCTGTCTGCTCCATGAAAGGAGACTTCAAATTTGTTTTTAACAGGTGTAAATAATAGTCACAAAAAAGTAAGTTTTATAATACAGAGAAGAGTCCAAAACAACTTTTACTGCATGTTCTAATTTGACTGTTTTGGTGCCTTTTGCAACTGCTGCAGTATGTCAAAAAAGCAAAGGTGGTGCCAATTCAGATCTGGCACACGCGGTTCTGAGTTTTTATGAAATCTTTTGTCGACCCGTTCTTCCTCATGTCTTCTTCAAACCTGGTTCTCTCAGTTGTTCAGAAGCTTAGAAGTCCCTATTTCACTACTGCCATGCAGAAAAGAAATGCAAGAAAAATATTAAAGGTCAGAAGCCCACACTCCAGTACTGTGTTTGCTAGCATGATGTGGCCCCTCCCACCTCACTATGGTGTGGTTTTGCTCCAAATACCCATCCTTCAGTTATATTCGGAGCACCCACCACGGTCAGGAACTCTGTTTAAAAGCCATACGGTTCATTTCCTTCAGCCTTTACCCCAACAAAACACAACTTAACCTTAAACAATGTTTTGATCTTGTTTCAGAAACTTTTGTTTGTTTCTTTCTCCTTTGCCTTCCATTTTCAAAACAGCTAAAGATTTGCTGAAGAAAAACTTTACTTCCCAAGCCTCCCAGAAGTTATTTTTGAATCTGTATGTGTTACTTTCCAGCAGCGGTTTATGGCTTGGCTTACTGGATGCTCAAAAAATTGCACGAGTATTATTTCCCCTCAGCCTGGACTTCTCATAGCTTGGAACACCCCCTCCCTGGAATATTTCTTACTGTTTCATATTTGCCTCTGTTTGGTTTTTTTTTTCCCTTGCCTAACTCAGAGATAACTGTTATAGATGTACTTAACAACCCTCCCCAAATTCTTATTTTAGGTTAAATGCAGACAAATGATATAAATATTTACGATTCCTGTAAGTCTCTTTCAACCAAACTAATTTATGACAAATATGAGCAGCTTTGTATCCAATACGAACAATCAAGAAATTGGAAACATGTGGATGTAACTTTTAAATACAATCCTCGGGGGTGGGGGGGTGGTTCTTGGTATACTGACTTCTTTCTCTTGATATGTAAATCATATTGTACAAAGTATACAATTGTCCCGCTTCTGGCTAATTTACACTTGATGTTTCTATGCACACTGTGGCAGCCCTGGACCAAGTGCTTGTGTCTACACTGCAGAGCAGGAAAGGCTTCAAGGCTGCATGTGAAGCCAGGTTTGTCAGCTGTCTGCCTTACTTACCTGCTAGAGCATCCTCAAGGCCAGCTCAGGGCTGAATTTCCTGGCACATCTTTGAGAGGAAAGCCTTGAGAGTGGTGCTCCACACTTCAGTGCCCATTATAGGATGCCCCGTGTGACATGTGGCCAGGCCCTCGCAACATATGCCAGGCCCAGAATTGTCTGTATATTACACCTGCCCTCTGTGGCATGTCACATACTTGATGGTGGGCAAAAAAGCAATCTGGGACCAATGGCTTTTGTTTCATGCCAGGAGGGCGATGTGAACATGGGGAAGCAGGTCTCGTGCAAACTGCTGGCTTCAAAGTACTGCTGGTTCTGGCAGCAAGTCCATGTGTCTACCTAATACATTCTTCAGATCTTGGAGGGGAATTCATTGGACTGATACAATTATCTCAAAGTAGCTCTTATTTGACTAGCTCAAAGGTCAGGAAATGCCTTATTTTGTTTGTAAACTAACAAAGGAGAAAAAAAGGTATCCTAACTGCAGTATGCATGTGAACATTATTTTTCCCTAGGCAACATCAGTGTTTAACACTGCTGTTTATTAAGATGCCGGCCTGCATTTTACAGTCAAAGATCTCCGTTATTTGCAGATCATACACAGCTCATGCAGCATGACAGAGCTTCTTTACACCACCGCTCTCAAATACATCGACTATGCTGTGTGGGATCACTGCTGAGTGTGGGAAGGTGGGTTGCCTGTGAATATTAAATTACATTTTTCCGATGAGACTGCAAAAATACTGTTAATCAGTGCCAACTGTGGTGGTGCGGTGTACATACAGAACTGTGAACACCAGAGAACTGCTGGCATGGGTAATAGCTTTTAGCCCACAGTAAGCTAGATTAGAGGTAGGATGTTGTGCCCTCCTCCCAGACTCTAAAATCCTCTAGCTACCCTAAAAACATAAGTTGTTTTAGGAATGCACAGCTGCAAGAGGATCTGCCTCACTCTTCACACAGTGAACTCTGCTCAACTGTTGAAACGTTTGAGCTTTTTAAATAGAAATATGCACGTTTCCAGTTAGCCACCAGATGGAGCCCACACCTCCCCATCACACAAATCCATGCACATCTGTAAAGTTAAAGCACTTCAGAGACGTTACAAAGGATGCAGTTTCTTCCACTTCATAAAAGTCGGAGGAAGTCTGTGATTAGCTGGATGTTTACAAATAAAAGGAGGATCTGGAGATAGATCAAAGATAATTCTCCAGCTTTGGCATGATGTCAGGTTCCTGTACTAATAGCATCTGCATGGGTTTGACTGTTGCATTAAGTGGATGAACTCGGCATATCTCATCATGTATTAATGATTTTTAAATGCTTAGCGCATTTATTAGAAGTCTGAAGATTCAGCCAGCTAAGGACCTGAAAAAAAACAAAAAAAAAAATAGCACCCCCCCAGCTAACAAGATCTTCCAGACTCCATTTAAAAGAGAAGCACCTACTGGGTTCTTCCTCACCCTGCTTTCTACAATGTAAAGGGAATCAAGAAGCAAAGATAAGCACTGTTCCAAAATCCGAAGGATGTAGTACTTCAGGCTTAGTAAACAGGAGCAGCAGCACTCAAAGCCTGTTCTCGTAATGATCTAAGTAGCTTGGATGGTCCAATCATACCATATATGCTTTTTACTGAGAAGTCTATAGTTCATCCAGGATTTCAGTGACTTTGGCACAGCCCCAATGACTGGGGAGAAGAGCAGATCTGAGATAGAAGATTGTAGTGTGTGAAATACATTGAATTAATGTATATGTGTTTTAAGGGACATCTTTGTTTTGACTCTGTGTAACAAACCAACATAGCTTGTGAGGTCTGGAAGGCCACAGACTATTTCTACTTTCATAGTAGTGCTCTGTTTGAAGCCAGTATTTCTATTTGGGGTCTAAGCCACACTGAACTTGATCAAATAAACATTCTCCAAAGGAAGCTGCCTTTGAACTACTTAACTCTTTGCAGAGCAACTAAAGCTGAAAGAACTGTAACAATTACTGTAAGATTTCTTGTGTCTTAATTGACTTATTTTGCCATTTTTAAGTTACTGTTCATCAGGACCTTCGTCTTTTTCTGGCAGAACTGACCATGTTAGCAACAGCCAGTAAAATCTAAGTGAAACAACCCCATCTGAAAGCAGACTAGGTGGGGCTAATCGTCATACTTCCAGGCGTGCAGACTGCGCCAGTGTCATGCTTTACAGCATATGTAAGTGTACACAAATTATATTTAATCTACTTGATAACAATGCAGCTCAGAGATCCAAGCTCTCTCCTGGGCTGTGGGGCACACTAAGACAATTTCTTCCATCAGTTCCAAGGGATCCTACCCTGTATTTCCTCCTTCTACAGTACTACTGTATCTATCCTTTTCCTGAAGGAGAGATAGTCTAGATTTCATCTCTTAAATAACCAATGGCTAGAAACCAGAACCTCAGTAGTCTGGTAGCTGGGAGACTCTCCCAGTAGGTACCACTAGGAACCCCATAGGCAGGGAGGAAACAGAGGCACCATCTTTAGCATGCTGAGTAAATTCTCTAACAATGACTTGTGTAAAAGGAGCATAACTGGTACCAGAAGTGTGGTTGTATCTATTACCAAAACAAAAAGTAAGCTATGGTATTCAGCAAACTCTATTTTTAGCCAGCATATCTGCATTTCCGCAAACTTTCATGCTCTTGGGGCTTTTGCCATGCAGAGAAGGACATTATATTATTTCTCCCATTCATTCTCTGGGGAGTCGGAAGCAGAAGTCTCTCTGGTGACCATCCCCAATGTAGTGGGATAGTTACCAAAAAAAAGGAGACAATAGGTATTACTGACTTGTGTAGGTTCAATTGAACATGTGAGAACTATTAAAAAAGGCAAGTTCTTAGCCCTAGTCATTGCTTTAAAACAGGAAGAAAGCACATCTTCCCATTTCAAAAAACAGAAGGCAAATAGAAGAGCCAAAAGGATTAATTTTTTAAATAGCAACCTTGTCATCAGGGGAGATGGGGAAAGACTGATTCTTGCATCTTTCATGTTGGCAACGCTGCTGCTGCATAGACCTTGGCAATTGCTGACACTGGTGGCACTTTGCCTGACAGACAGGTTGAGAAACCAAGGATTTGCAGACAGTCCTGACTTCCAGTAGATTTCCCACAATCCCATCAGCTTCCAGGGTTTGGAGGCCTTTAAGGAATGCTCTCTTCCCACTCCCTGTCAGGAGTCTTGGGATGTCTACAGAACCACAAGACATACTTATCTGAGATCATCTCTTATTTGCAACCAAAAAAAAAAAGTACACCCCAAAAATCTCACTGATGCAAATCACAGCTGAATTTGAGTAAAAACAATAGCAGCATGAGGACTTTTGTCAGAGAGGGAAGTTCTTGAACAGCTCTGAAAGGGCTAATTTTTTTTTTTCTCTCACAGGAAATGCTAGATGCAGCATTGTTTTTGTGGTTGTAGCTGCAGGAGGATTTACTACAGTTTTAGTATGCCAGAAGGCACAGGAAAGGATTAAACCTTTTCATTTTCTTGCAAGAGAATCAAAGATACTGACCACTTCTGAAATTCTGGGTTCTTGGGGTGAGGTGTGCCATGCTAGCTAGGCAAAACAGACAGTCAAAATCTGGCCTTGGACTATATGCTGATTTCTCATCTCATAATTTTGTTATGTTCCCTTGAATACATTAATATGGAACTTTAAAAACATATTTTCAACTACTTTTATACAGGGAATGTGCACAAATTACTGAAAACCGTTCCTCTAAAAGCATGATGCACAATATTGTTTTCCTACAACTTAAATAAAAAAAAAAAAACCAACCCTACAGGACATTTGAAGGCAAAAATGACCCAAATAAAAATCTGATAGCATTTCTCTTGTAAAGTTGGCACTGGTCATTCAAGTACATGAAAAGGAACATGGGCTGTTTGTTTCAAGGCTGAATATTTATAGTCATGATGAACTGAATCCTGAGTCATGAGCTCTGTTGCCCTGTAACAAATTAAGATTTGTCTTTCTGCATGAAAAAATAAAATCACAATTAATTCCA